CCCCAAAACCCCAAAACCCCAAAACCCCAAAACCCCAAAACCCCATGCCAGGGATGAGAAGTTGAGTTTAATATTTATTTATCAGATAGTCTGGATGACTGAGACGCTACCTTTTTAACACCTTTACTGACTTCTTTTATATTACGCTCAAGGAATTTTTCTAAAATAGTCTTGATGTTCTGGTTGAGGGTGAATTTAAAAAGATCGTCACATAGAGCTTTATTAATGGTCTCAATTTTCTTTTCAAGATCTTTATTTTCCCTCTCTAAGCTATCAATCTCAGGCTGAAGGTTTTCAAAATTATATGAAGAGGAAATTTTCAGCTTCTTCTTGTTCAATACAATGATATTTGTCTTATAAGCAGCTATTACAGTACTCCTTCTTTGTAGTGTCTCTCTCAGTCCCTTCACTTTATACAACTGAGCTTGCAGATCAGTATGAAGCTCCTTCCAATTCTCAGTAACAGCCTTATTAGCTGTGGCTCCTGCAATTAAGGCAGGAAATATATTCTTCAGGAATGGGAGCCGTTCAATTTTGTCGTAATCTTTGGCAGCATCAATAGTCTCCCTTGAGTCTACCTTACTCAGTGGTAGGTCATCAAGGTCATCTATATACTCGTCACTCAGTGTATTCCCTTTGGTGAACAATTTAGTTAGCTGCCTTTGCTCTGTATCCATCCGATATTTTTCCAACCTCAGAGCTACCTTACTCATCTTATCGCTAATCTCGTGGTTAGTTTTGTGATTTTCTAAAATGGAATCGACTAAATTCTCCAACTGAGTTTCGTAATCAAACAGATGGTCAATTTGAGTGAGATATTTCTTGTCCAGTCGAAAGTGTTTTGGTTCCTCAGAATCAAAATATTGACCAATATTTGTCACAAAGCGGTCGACATCAAAGTTTTTCACTTTTAAAGCATAACTATATATACTATCTTTCCATGATGATGCCTCTTTTTGCATTAGGCTATTGAATTTGTCTTCATCCTGCTCTGTCAGGAAATGATGGATTGGTTCTGAATTATTGAGAGAAGGGTGAGATACCAGGGTCTTTATGTATCCCTCTAAGCTGTTCTTCCTTGTCTTAAAAAACTCTTCATTTTGTCTCTGGAAATAAGGCTTTTCTGGTAATTTCGGTAGAACAAATCCCTCAAATGAATTAGTTTGAGTTATTAAATTATGAAGCCATTCAAAATCGCTAAATCTTCTCCAGACTACATATTCATCATTCTTGAGAGGTGGGAAATTGTGTGCAGTTGTGACAATTTTGTACAGAGTGTAGCTATTTATTCCTAGCCATCCTTGTCTTACTATGTCAAATCAAGGGACAGAAATATGGAGTCCTGATGAAGCTTTACTTTCTTCTACCCCAATTCTCGAACTTTTTGAAAAAGTATTACTTCTAGGTCTATCGTAAATCTCAATTTTCTCTTCTTCAATTTTGCCACTAACTCCCACAAACTCTTCTTCGGATTCAGAATCATCTGAATCTCTACACATCCTGACCTCCTCTTCTACCGGCTCTTTCACCATCCTCGGGATAACATTAGGCATGAGTTCCTGTATGTCTTCGTCCTCAAAGACTGGCAGAGAGAACTCCTCCTTCAAATACACTGCTATATCATCAAGACTCTCATTCTTCTGGGCTACTGCAATACATTTGAGAGCCTTAAAAAACCCTTCTCTTGCCAAAACCCTCTTCTTTCCAACTCAGAGCCTCCATACCTGTGCCAAAATCTCATTTGAAATCCCACTAGTCATGAACACCCTCTTCAATTCCTCTGCAGAGACCACCCTAACTAACTCTCCTGCCACATTAGCATTCTCTTTGGCCACAAGTGTGAATACTTTTTGGAAAAAGTCTGCTTCCTTGTTGCTAAGATGAATTCCTTCCATTTAATTTATAAGCTATTTTTTATTAATTTTGAGGGGTTTTGGGGTTTTGGGGTTTTGGGGTTTTGGGGTTTTGGGGTTTTGGGG